TAATTCTTTATGGCGTTTCCTAGACCCACATTTCATAAATTCACCTTAATCTCCAAGGCATACCCGGTCCAATACCTTTGAAGAAAAATACTGCCTTTAACATGTTAGAGAGTTTTCAATTTTATTTCTTATTGACCTGGCGAATTTCACCAATCTCTTTCCCCATCACGAGGGTAATTCAAAAACTGAAAACCTAGCACAAGAATAAAATAGAAAATTGTTAGTAATATTTCCTGTTTAGTGCATACATGAAAAGATTGTAAGAAAACTTGGTGAGGTGGGTCACCTTGACATTGAAACAACACACGTGCCCTACCAAGCGTTTTCAATAATTTTCTTTTTCAATATAATCAACCGCCGGCAAACACTTTCAGAGCCACCGTACAGCCATGGGAACTCGATAGAAACTCACTTTCGTTTTACTGGCCACTTGCAAGAGACGAAAGTACCATGCCTCATGTCAAATCGCCCTATACCATATCTGTCACAAGATAATCATTTTAATATGGACGAGATCGATAATACCACATTCGTTTATCAAACGAAATTCACTCTGAAATAAAAAAAGCCAGGATAAATGAAAGCAGCATGACTTCCGTCTCTTTGAGTCGCTGTAATTTAGCAGTAATGTATTGGGGGGGGGGGGGGGGGAACAAAAGTGAATTTGCCATGCCGCCTTCTTTTGTATAGACAAACTGACAAGCTCCTACGGGCCATAAGATTTTGTTGTTCAACATGCTGATTTTGGTGTTAAACCCCCGCAAAACTTAATCAGTGTCCCCGGTTGTGAAGTGTCCAAGACCCCATTCCCATACCTAGGTCGATCTAGCAGGATCGACCCATCTCCGAAGGGTTTCTGGCTAATTACATTCAGCGTAAGCGGGTCTGATGTCTGGCACGCCTACTGAAGGTGTTAGGGGGTAATTAACTATCGTTCGGCAGCTTCAATAGGCGTGCCAGACATCTAAGCCGCTTAATCTGAATGCAATTTAGCGAGAATCCCTTCGGAGATGGGTCGATCCTGCTAGATCGATCAATTTCGCGGCAACATCACATACTTCTTAACAACATAATCACCATCAATATTTAATGATATATTATTAGTTTAGTGGTATTCAGAATACGCACAGGCCAAAGGAAGTTCAAAGATACACTTTGAAAATGCTAGTATGCGAAAATGGACAAGTTTTATTAGGAAGTGGATTTACTCCTTTTTATGCCAAAGATATCAGAGAGTGAAATGTGGTCAGTGTAAATCTGACTGGGTCCAGCTTAACAGAGGGGTACCTCAGAGGACAAAGTTAGGTCCAATTCTGTTTATAACAATGATAAATGATCTAATAACCTGCTGCCCAGATATAAAATTCGTTGATGACACATCTATTTATGAAATTTGTCAGTTTGGCAAAAAGTCACTTCTTTCACAGGCAATAGAGCAACTTGAAAATTGGGTTAGAAAAAACAATATGAAATTGAACGTAAAGAAACCAAATGTATAGATTTTAACTTTACCAAATGTACAGATATCATACCAACACTATTGGTAGATGGAGAAATTGTAGAAAAAGTGAGTAAATTTAAGCTACTAGGATTAACTCTGACCCCTGATCTCAAGTGGACAGAACATGTGCAGTTTATTTATTCCAAGTCTTGTGCCAAGCTTTTTTTATCTCAGACAGTTGAAAAGGGCAAAACTGGACACTGAGGATCTAATAGTTATATATCAGTCAATAATCAGATCAGTCCTAGAATATGCATGCCCTGTGTGGGAGCCTGGTCTTACAGCCGAACAATGCGAATGCTTAGAATCTGTTCAAAGGAGAGCTCTTAGAATTATTTGCCCATTTTATACTTACAAAGATGCCCTACAGGCTAGCAATCTCACCTCTCTGAGGGAGAGAAGAGATGTTTTATTTAAGAACTATTTTACAAAAATCAAGAATTTTAATAAGTTACACCATCTGTTTAAAGAAAAGAATCCAAGAAATCTCAGGGTCAGCAACAAATTTTTAATACAAAGGGTGAAAACGGAGCGTTTTAAATCATCCTTTATAATGCACAGTCTTTTAAATTTCTATAAAATACTGCTCCAAATTGTCTTATAAGTCTTGTTTTAAAGCTTTGGTCTTTTAGCCTATAACTTTTAGTTACCTTTAAATACCTTATGATTTTATATATGATACATTGTAAAACTTCAACCCTTGGGTTGTGATTATAGCAAATAAATAGATTATTATAAAAATACTAAACTTCAAGTAAAATGATCCGATCAGGCTGGTTTTCATACTCGAACTGTATTTTAAGGATGTTCATCAATAATGTTAGTTTAGAGACAATAAGGGAACAATAAGGGGCAATAAGGAAAACGTGTTTCCTGTATTTCATATAGCACAATATACCGGAAAAAAAAACAGCATAATTTCAAGAAAAATAATCCAGTCAGGCTGGTTTCAGTAAACACACCTGTAAGTTTGAAGACAAAAGACCCAAAGGATTACCTCGAAATGTGCTACTTGTATTCAAATAGTATAATATATGCTGAAAAAAAAAACAGTATAAACTGTGTAAAAATTAAGTGTCTGTACATAAAAATACAGTGTTCATTGCATACTTGCCAGTCAGCTGTTTTAATAATCTCGTAGGCCTACAAGTGCTACATAAACTGCGTAAACATCAATAACATCTTGTTTGTGTCAATATTACTGAATACCAGGACATTCACTTGTAAATTTCCGTTTTCTATAAACTCCCCCCTCCCCAGAACAGAACTAATCCAATTAGTCTCATTAGAGGGATTTCGTGTTTTCTCTATAAGCAGATGTCCTTCCTTTTCAACTAATTTAAAAATAAATAAATAAAAACAAAAAAGGGTGTCTATACATGCTTCCTTGTTAAATAATTTGTTTTGACAACAACCTACACGTGCTTCTCTCCAGAGCCCGTCAATTCAAACATGTAAATGAGTGCCGTTACAAGATGAGGCAATGTCCCTATTAATCCGTGACTTGGCCTCAATCTCGGCGATCATTCTAATATAAGCGAACTCCGCAAGCGAGGCCGCTGTTTGTGCTTTGCAATTTGCGTTCAGTACTTATTGAATTCTGGTGAAGACATGGAAAAGGTAATTGGAAGCAACAGAAAGGAAAATCAGATATGCTTGGATTTCGTTCGGTGTCAAATATCTCTTGGTACATTTATATAATCGTGATGTTGTCGCTTGCGTCAGTGTAAAAGTCATTGTTTGGGAAAGGAAATTGCTTCAATCGTGACATTTTGTTTACTTTGAGAAACCAGTTGTCTGTGAAATGCGGGAATATTTATAAATATCAATCAAATGCTACAGCTTTGAGGTTCGAACGTACATGTATTCTTGTCTAAGTTCTTTTTATTTTATCTCGTTCATTTATCTATCAATTAATTCGATGTATATTTTGTAATTAAGATTAAAATTAAATTTATATAACTATTAAACTTTATTTATTGAGGATAAAACATGGTTAGTATAAAATTTTATCTTCCCAATGGCTTTCGTTCGGTAAGTTATATAAGTAAGAATAAACATAATAATAATAGCAAATATCTAGTGTAATCTTCAGATTGGCAAGGTCTCAAAGCGTGATACATCAATGGCAAATTTTAATCAAAATTGTTGCACGACAGCGGTGTGATTTAAACTAAAGTTCAGGACGTATATAATTTATGTCTTTCGTGTCTCGCACTTTTCTGTAGTGTGAGGGCACGCAGGCTGGCACAATGAATGTTTAATGCACATTGTCCTTCTTTCTGGCTTATGAATACAAAGAGTAGCACAGATTGATGATGTATTTTTTATGTGTATTCTTAATGAATATAATACATGTGCCTGCGGTTTTTATGGTTTTGTCTGGGGCTTATCTATACCTGTTTAAATACTTAGCACATTGTGAGGGAATGTATGAATTACCTACAAGGGAAATGTCACGAGGTGTTCAACTGTTATGAAAAATTACTTCCGTGTACACTGAAAAGGACAGCCAAAGGTAGATTTATTCTCACCTCATTACTGTCGTTGATTTCAAAGTCATGGTGACATTTGCCATGGTCTTTGGCAGCAACATAATGACATAACGATGCTGGCGCCGGTTGAAACGTTGACAGCCTGAACAAGATAGTGTTTGGAGTGGTTTTGCTGAGAAAGCAACTGTTTTTGGGATTATATGTGAAAGTTTGACACAATATGGCAGTGTAGTGAGTTGGAGCGTGCGTCACTTTAGCAATGTTGACACAGAATTGTCGGCGCAAAAACTATTAAAAAATAAAAGTAAAAAAAAAAATATATATATATATATATATATATATATATATATATATATATATATATATATATATATATATATATATATATATATATATATATATATATATATATATATATATATATATATATATATAATAAAATAAACATATAAATAAAATGAGTTTAAAAATTAATTTAAAAGAATCTTTGTTTTATTCTTGGTCTTACAGCTACGCGCACTGACGTCATCATATCATGCATTTATTTTCATAAAAAATTGAAAATGTCAAAATTGAGTGAAAGGTAAATAAAACGACCCAAAGAAAAAGGGAAAAGAAGGGATAGCAGAAATGGGAGTAAACAGCAAGTACGGACGGGGGTAAACAGCCGATGGGTCGACCCATGGTGGGAGGGGGTCCCCTGGTCGCCTTAAGCCTACAGGTAAGTACAGTATGTCTTCTTCGTGTACTTTTAGTGAACCGCTTGCTATACTTCGTATACTGCTATTGTTTAACTATTGCCTTAGACTTCATTTGCTGCCCCCGTTTATACCACGGTAAGCCTCACGCTGTTCTTACAGTGTACGTTCAACCACTGTATGTATTTCATTAAATATTGCACGACAGATTGAGAAAAGCAAATATCTAGTGTAATCAAAAATTTTTAAAAAAATCAGCTTCTTAAATCATGCATGTGCAACAGTGAGAAGTTTTTAACTCTGGTGCATTTCTTATGTTTTATTTCATCTCCACAGTCGACTCTGATATAAGCCGGCATATTGGGCCTTTGCCAACGCCCTTATTTTAAAGAATACAAAATGAATTATATATATGAACTAGACAAATTTTATTTCCTTTCTCCTCAATTCTTAGCGAACACTGCTGAGTAAGTCAATACGTCTACACGTCTGGGTTGAGTACAAGAATTTGCCTATCAGCAAATCGTGACCATTAAATATTTGATGCTGGTAGAACCCCGGGTCACATCTGAGTCTCCAATTCTTTGTTTTGTGATAACAAGATGTGGTGTCTTTGTTGCAACGTTCTCATTTTTCTGTAACCGATGAAATTTCCTCAATCTTCTCAAAGGAAATGCAAGACGAAGACCAAGATTTTAAACAAGAAATATCTTTATTGCACAACAACGGCGTATAATTAAGTTCAGTGGCACGTGTGCTAAGAATGGCCACGACAATAATCACGACTAAACAGATCTGGTATAATATAATTACAACACCATATCATTTCTTATCAATAAATATAGAAGTTGGAATGTTCTAACAGGTGCACAATTAACATTGTGCACCGCAGGCAGTTTTATAGAGAGTTGTAAAGAATGTAATTTCACGCATCCATACTATACCTAGTTTTGGTACTTTGCCTGACTTAAATTCTTCTAAAAACGTCATAAATATGCAGTCAATATTACGCCTCTACTGCTTCATTATCACATCCATTGGTATGTCAATTAAAAATGCGCGCTACGTTGATGTTACGTGCGTGCGTGCGTGCGTGCTACCTCGAAACGAACCTCTAGTTTAATGGAATAACGTGTCCCAAATCTCAAGTTTATACACCACATCACCCTTATTACTTCACACCAGAAACTGGCCATGCACCAATGCATTCATGGACCCCAACTCTCTTCATATTGGCGGTTATTCCTAATATTAAAATACCTGTATTAACCAAAGGAAACCATAACGACATCACAAGCAGCCACCGCGTGTCATGCTAATCATCAGCGGTGTAATGACATAAAGACTGAGCTGAAGGTTCGCGTGTTACTGATAACAGACGCGTATCTCTCTCGTCCCTGCTACGACAAGGAAACTATTAATTCCAGAAGAGAGTCCTATGTGATTTAAACACGACCCCTTAACCAGGCACGTCCGTGAGCATTACAGCGGCGTGACGCGTTCAATAGAGAGGTTTAACTATCAGACTTTGTGAGCAAATTGTTACAGGTATTAAGTATCACAATACACAGGTTGTTACTCTGTTATTAGAAGTGCATCGAGAGATAAAGGTTGCGACCCTTATGCCATGCCTCGAGACGCCTGATCAAAGACAAAATGAAGCACGATGTAAGCTTTGCCCCTCTCTCTCTCCCTTAATGGTCCCTGATTTCCCTTTACTCCACATAAGCCACCAGCAAGTCATTAATGCACGCCTCCAATGGACAAAATAAAATCAACTTGACCAATCATGAGATTTACGATGCACATATATTTAAATAACTGATGTGTCGCATGACAATTTGCGGCACCGACTTGTCTTTGGTATTGAGCGACAAACACAATAGTGTCCGACAAATAAAAAACCCGAAAATACATGACGTTAAATAGTCAAAGTTGCACCAAAGTATTCAGACGCGTGAGGTCACCACTGGCCTTCTGACGTTAAATAACCACGTGATCGATCTCAATATATTTCTGTGCGTCTGTTTTCGACGCGTCTTGAATATACATTTAAGATACGTAAGCTTAGACATGTCGTTCGCATTATTAAGCTGCCAGTCTCTGCTATTGATTGACATTGAACTTTTTACCAGAATAAAGTCTGTCTTTATCTTGGAAACTACTAACATACGAAGACTGTATATTCCAATCTGACGTCAGAGAGTTTGATGACGGTTCGATATTTGAGTCCTTTGGCGAAGATAAACTGTGCGCAGATTTCGAAATCTGTCGGCTGTACATATCATTTGGATTAAGCCTTACGTCACTAAAATCCTCGCACCCCATTGGGCAAGACGAAGTCTGTCGCAGCAGACGCCTGTTGTACGTTTTGGTGGAAGTGTTCCCCTTCTGATATCGAAATGTTTCCGTGATTTAGCCTCTGTCTGAGGTGGCCATAAGTAGGAGAAGTAGACAAACTAGACAATGTTCCTAGGTCGACACTGAGGCTGTTTGGCCGGGAGTTCTGCAGGTGCTCTGCCTGCGTGTAGCTGGGGCAGGCACGGAGATCAATAAAGCTTCTCTGAAGTCTTTTTTTACATTGTAGTGTCGGGGGAAAGATTGTCGCATACTGTGATACTGCAGGCGGACTTGGGCTTTCACTGCGCTCAGGAGCTTTTGGAATGTTGCCTTCAATGAGAAGAAAACGAAAAATCAAATATTTATTTAAGAAAGTAAACAGTCGGAGATGTTTCAACAAAGGAGTGTCATTTTACCCAATCTTCACGGGGATGTTAGAATAAAATTGACTGCGAACTGGAACTTTGTAATAAGTAAAGACGTCGCTGAATTTGTATAATATCTATGAATTCGTTTACCATGACTGCATTTGCTCATTTATGTAAAGACTCAAAACGAATAAATGGCGTTTATTCTACATATTAAACATGCACTCAACTCTGATTTAGATAGCGTCACTGTGACGTCATTTCTGTACGCCAGCATATTACGTAATAACTTACCACTATATTGCAAGTCTCGTATAAATTTCACAATGTGGTAATGCCCCCTGTTCTTGGCCTCTTCCAAGGCCGTGCTTCCGTCGCCGTTTTCTTTCCAGATGTCGCACCCTTCGTCCACAAGAAGTTTTACGACATCTAAGTAACCCCTGTAGGCAGCGAGGTGACAAGGTGTGTCCCCGTTTATTGTGGTGAGGTCCACTTTGGCGCCATTCTTTATCAAGAACCTGGAAAAATTTATATGAGGGAGGATTAGATTTTTATAGAAATTAATGGATGGTCTAATAAAAGAAAGAAGCAAATAAGAAACAAAAAAGAAAATTGTCTACGAGTGATTAATAAATTAAGGCATAATAAAACTGTGAACGTCTCCAAGGCACTCGCCATTGTTGTTAAAAAATCCAAAACACAAGCGACAACAAGGAAGTAATACCGACACGTAAACACGACTCTTATACTTGCAATAGAAATTGACCGCAAATGATGTAAACAAAATAGTTCTGCATCAGTCTTAAGGACCGTCACATATCACAACACCAACAAGTACTTTTAATTTACGACAAAAGCACACTCAATGCTGGACAATGACAATGGGTGTCGTAACACCAGGATCCGAGAGTTCGACCCCGATGACGTAAGGAGAGCCCAAATGTAGACCCCTGTTTGTTGTGTTTTCCTCCACAAAAGTGCCTCATATCACGTAGCAGAGTTTATTGCAGTGATGCAAACTACAGAACAAGACACCGCTATCTGTCACTGCAAGTTTGGAGTATAGTTTAAACTCTCTGACAACAGGGTCCGCTATAACTGTCAATAAAGTATTGCCCATTTTTCAGTTTTGCATGCTATTTTAGACGCCCCTGCGACATCAGAGGGTAGTACAAATATGTCCATGAAGTGCCAAAATAATGTCACATGATACGTCCTGGATCGTGACTTTTGCCATTTGACAGATGACATGTTGTTGACGATCAGCCGAAACAACCGCACCTTCTCACGACAACTGAACCGCCGTCCTTGTTGCAGATTCCGCAGATCGCTCTTGTCCGAAACGAGTCCAGATAAACACATATTTAAAACGCAATTCATGCACGTGATCTGTGTCACTGAGAAAAATGAAAATACTTTGGTGTGGATCCTGTTACGTTGTTGTTGTTATTTGTTGTTTGTTGTTGTTATTTGTTGTTGTTGTCATGGTAGAACGACCGTGTATGCAACTATTCCGGGTTGTTGACCTGTCACAAGACATACAAAATATAGATGTTTAGATGAGTAAACAGGTCCATATCACTTGTGACTGGTGAAATTGCGGGGCTTTGGTACAAAAGCACTATTTCTGTGCGTTTGCTGGCTACCAAATGAGATTTATTTGTGAGTTTCAACTTTAGCACACACCCCCAACCAAAAAAAAAACCCCTTCTCATTACGCTCATAACAAACCTCTTTTAACAGGGTTACGTGTTTGATCCCATTTCATTCATTTTCTCAATTCAAGTCCACGTCACTAAATTTTATAGCAGTTCTGAAATTATCGCATTTTTCCTGTAGACCTATCACACTATCTCCCCGTAAATATGTAATGAAAAACAAACATACACAGCCGCAAACACCGTAATGCTTTATAACGTGCACTGGAGCGGCTATATATATATATATATATATATATATATATATATATATATATATATATATATATATATATATATATATATATATATATATATATATATATATATATTCTAAATTCCTTATTTGACCGGCTGTGCCTGAATCGAGAGATGGCTTCTCAGTCTATCCAACGATAAACAAATGAGCGCTCAAAGTAATGCAAAAATATTGTAGTACATTAATCGACTTCAATTATTTCAGCGTGCTCTCAAGTGCACAGGTCTCGTATCAACATCAGCACTTAAGTACAGTGCAGCGAGTCAAAAAAAAACACAAAATTAATCAAATCAAAAATGAAAATGTTATGGGAATTTAAAAGAAAAAGGATTCTCTTAACCTGCCTTGACAACAAGGTGGCTGGAAAATTAATGTTCAGAGCCAGGGAATTAACCGCAATCACGAGATGTATTTCTGTCTTCAACCAATCAATAATCTAAATGTCTCGAAAACTCTGGGATCACGGCAGTCGATTATTCACCCATTACGCATGTAGATTACCAGGAAATAGTGGCAGAGCACTCCGAGAAAACTACGATACCTGGAACTCTAATTATAGCCGCCTGGAAAGCCAGAGAAACCAGGAAGAACTTTTATGTTTGATGCCGTCATCAGAGGCACTATGCAGCAAAAACTGAAATAAACACAGTTCTTCTGGGAGAGTGGCATGCTTTTTCGCAGAGGCCGGGGGGGGGGGGGGGGCTACACATGCGAGATTTTTGAAAGAAGCGAAGGAATATTACAGAAGTGAAAATATTCAACATGTTTGCACGGGGAAATAAACTGATTATAGTTTGCAAAAAGAAAAAAAAAGTTTCCCAAAGATCATTTCACCTTGGTTGATGTCCTTATGCCGAAACATGCCAAGAATTTCGGAACTGAGGCCATTGCGCGGAGAATGCTCCAGTGATGAATTCTCGTTCCATGTGTTATTAATTCATCCCACTGCAGTGATTATTGCCATGTCTATTTTTGTCATGTTTTAATTTAACGACACCCATATTATTATTCATTACAGACACATTAAGGTGGATTTCCAGGCCGCGCGTCCTCTCCCTCTCCTTTTTTTCTGTTGCCGATACTTGCACCTCCTTCTATTCCCCCCTCTCTTTCTCTCTCTCTGTCACACACACACACACACACACGCACGCGCGCGCACGCGGGCACACATTTGATTGTAATTCCACAAACTATTAAGTACCATCGGTTCAGTGTCTGCAATGATCTTCGATATCCCTCTCTTCAATTCCATATTTATCGACCAGCTTATATCTAAATAATAAACAGATTACATGGTCTACAGAGTATTCATTAACTCATCTCACCGCCCGGGATCAATAAATTAGGTTTTTTTATTCTATTGATACACATTGCCGAAGTAAATGGTTTAGCTCTCAGCTAAATTAGAAACGCAATTCGAGGAAATGTCAAAATCGAGAGGCCCGGAGAGACTGAGAGAGACATTTTTTTTTCCACTACTTCCTTCTTGAGAAATCGGAATTCATATACTGGCCGCAATACGACCTGCCGGTGACACATTGAAACTGTCCACCTTGGCATAATCCGCGAGTGAAAGATTTGCAAGAGGAGAATTTTTTAAAAGAAAAGTTATTCATCAGCAAAACAAACGAGGCAAAAGTAAAATTTTACCTAGGCGTACATTTAAGTGACCCGTGATATTTCTGTTACGGGTGTAGGCCAGAGCCAAAAATAGCATATTCACATTTTCTCTTGATGCTGGCACTTCGCCGGCTCGCGACTAAAATTTACTGAAGCCGACAGCCCACTTATAGAAGTACTTTAAACATTTCAGGATCATGAAAAGAGAGAGAGAGAGAGAGAGAGAAACCACCCTAAACATTCCAAATTATCTGGAGGCGAGCAATGATGATTGCATAGCTTGGAATGCATCATTGGCTATAACAGGGAAGTGATCCCACTCCACTGTCTTTGTTCAGAATGCGTCAAGTGCCCATCTTAACGGATCCCTGACCTAAAGCGTCAAGCGCGGAAAACAAAGAACAACCGACGGTTCATTAATAGTACACGGCACGCTATTTCCTTATATCCTTCTCAAGGCGCTGGGTTTGCGGTCGGTGCGCCCGCACTAAACGAGGTTAAATAACCGCTCCTCCCCCTTCACTTTTTGTACAAAACCAGGTCGACTCTTGTTTTTGTTATACAGCTAATATGTAAGAGCTAACGGTTTGGTCCAGTCCAAACTTGGCCCAGTTTCTTTTAAGAACACTCCCCTCCCAACATTCCCTTTCAATAACCACTTGTGTGTGTGTGCGTGCGTGTGTACATATTTTTTTCTCCTTCACATCAGTCAGCCAACCAATATATAAGGCACAATAGTGATGGCCAACAGACCGGAGCCAACTCAAAACACGTGACGACCCAAAAACTTATCTACTCGCCATATAGGATCTACAGCAGAAATGGGAGAGCCGAAGCTAGCGTTGTTGACCAGTGTTATCGATAACCCGTACTCGCTGTTTTTAATGCAAACCGTATCACACCAAAGGGATTAATTTCACACCAAGTTAAGGTTTGGTCACAGTCAACACTGGTATTCATTAACTGAATAATCCGCTTTTATGTTCGAATTTCCACCTACCTCAGTAATTAACTCTGGTACCATGTTATTCATTGAACAGGTAATCCTAATACTACATGTATGACATTCCTGAATACAACGCCTAACTTAACACCAAACAACGTATAGTCCGGCTTGCCAAAAACAACGCCCCCCCCCCCCCTCATCCAATACAAAAATGGTATTGCTATGACCACCTACACCTCCTTAAAACTTGCACATACTCACGAAGAAAAAAAGATAATATTTATTAATTAAACTAAATAAATATTTTATAAAATCGGTCTCCACAATTGTCAGACATCAGGAAATTCGTTTATCCAATTATTTGTGTTTTTGGAGGTTAATTACATTTTCTGACGACAGCGGGCTGAATATGGGGTAAAACACCCACCGTCCGAAGTCCAAAATTGACTGGTCTATAACATGAGAGCCGTGGCATGACCATCATCGTTAAATATTTCCTTCACTGCATAAAAAATCTCTCCAGCAAAACCCAGCGGTCAAGATATGGATCAGAGCAAAGAAAGCGAGACGCTGGACGTATATGGTCAAGGCTTAAGTGTCTAAAATTATATTCTCGCCTACAACAGATGACCACAAGGTGGAAAATTGCTGTCCGGTAGTGAGTAAACCACATCAGCTAGATGTGTGTACTAGTTTTATCCCATGATTATGATAAAACATAAACATCCATCACCTCTCACACTGAAATTACCTTCAATATACAGAATGTATTTAGCAAATACGCAAATCAATATTTGATTGGGAACATAAACATACTGCGGCCAAGTGATCTGTTTTGACCAGGTTCTCTTATGCCTTATTCAACCTGTCTTCTCGGTTAGATTATAATCCTTTAGTATACTGGGGTTTAGCTGCTTTAACCAGTTATCATCTAAACCAGTGAATAACTTCAACACTGAAGTACTGAACTGTGGTTTAAGGTAAGCACAAAAAAAGTTCATCAAACAAAAAGGGAATTTTACGTGGGATAATGCCTATCCGCTTTGAACGTAAGAAACGGAAACGTCAGAAACACGGAAAAGGGCCCACTAGGTGTGTGTACTTACTTAGCACATGGAATAGGGGAGCGTCAACTATTAATCAACCTTTTTTTTTCAATGTGATGCGCTAAGTGGGCACCCTGTGTTTCAGCGTGCACTTCATGATTCTACATTCTAAAAGGATTCGCTTCCCGGCGCGATGCGGTTAAGAAATATACAGGAATTTCGAGTCCGCACCAGGGTGATCACGGGGGCGTCAGCAATTCAGACAACGTGCGTCAACCCAGCCTTAAATCGCTTTTTAGAAAGCTATAAAACTTGTTTTAGTTGTTTTGTGCTCATTAGACGGTGAAATGCCCTGAAACCACCCGTGACCCCGAGGTCAGCCAGCGGGCGTAAAATATAAGTAGCTGAATGTCGAGTATGTAGAGCACCCTGATGAACTCAATTTGTATACTTAATTCAACTCCTACACCTCAGCAGTCTACCAATGATTATATCAGTATGGAGATTTGGTTATGTCCAAGGGTACCTCGCCCGAATGGGTTCTATCTTTAGCGCGATCGGTTACAATAAATGATTAACCAAAAGTTGAGGATTGGCGTTGGGGGCGGGGGTGGGGGGCGGTGGGGGGGGGGGGGGGTAGAGGTTCACATGTTCAAAGGAGAGACATAAACTTGTAACTATTTAAAGAAATAAACAAGCAATCAAAAGCAGTTTTCACTTTATTTGGAGGTGATCGTCTATTTTTTAACAATTATTATCTATTATAGTCTATTGTTTTCCTAATCATAATTTTTATCATATTCATATTTTGTCTTTATATTTATTTAGTGATTGCACCCTACATGTCCAGGTTATTTCAGTAAAGTATTCTGTATAATAAGATAGTTAAACTGACATACGTGCGCATTTCGAGTGGTGATAACGGCAGCTGTAGACCCACGGTCTATCTATATATATATATATAACCGACCTGACAGCCTTATGGTTTTTGCACATTTCAATCGGTTTCCAGGCATGTTCTATGCACCCACGTTATACAATTATTTTAAACGTGAGCTATATTAGCCATATGTTAACAAAACTACCTATCACCAACCCTGTGAATATGCACGCATTACAGTAGGACCCTATATCCCAGGGCATAGGAACAGACTAAGAAAAAGCAGTCTATTTTCCCAACTTTAAAAAAAAGAAAAAAAATCTATCAGCTGAGGTGATACATTTGCTTATTGCAAGTAGACCTACCTCACTATGTCACAGTGGTTGTTGTCGGCTGCTCCGTGCAAGGGGGCAGCTCCCCACGCGTTCCTTGAGTCCACATCAGCGCCGTTGGCTATTAAGGTCTCCACAATGTCTAATAAACCTTTGCTGCAGGCCCAGAATAGCGCTGTCCCGTCGCAGTCCTCATCCAAATAATCAATGTTTGCTAAATTCCCTATAATATCCTTGCGTTCCAGCAGACGCTTCGATGCAGTTAAGTCCCCCTCCTTAATAGCACTGAGCAGGGTACAGATCGCCATACGAGACGCGTTGTATTTCATAGTCCCCGATAATATCCAAGCGGGCGCTTTGCGTGCCGACGTTTATGTACTATACAAGTATTTCCTCGTTCGGGAAGCTTGTTCTCATTGGCTGACCCTCGCAAGGTCGTGACGTACTTTGAAGGTCAGTAAATCATTTGGGGATATAACACAGCTTGCTGTACGGCGAACGGCTCTCTCGCGGAACTTTGGGATCGTTGAGAACTAGCTTCTAATACTCAGAATCGTAAGAGTTTGAAGGGTGAGGGTGACGTAGAGGTTGATTGAATTTCAGCGTATCTGTTCTGCTTCTTTCGTATAGGCCCGTGGTAGACTACAGCTAGGTGTTGGTTATGGCGATTTTTTTTTTTTTAGACTCCGCGTCTAACTCGCTTTGATATGTACATTTACCTGGTTAACCGGCAACCACTGAACTTTGCACAAAAGAAATTTTACCTAAATAGGACCTACAAGTTTTTAAAATCATTTTTAAATAATTAAAAAAAGTCAATCCAATATATATATTTTTTAGAATAAATTTAACCCCATGTGTAGAAAAGTTCACATTTAACTCCCTTTTCCATCGTTTTATTCGCAAATATATTTCCGTTGAATCTTGAGTAAAGCCAGCCGCATAAGCTAGGTCAGTAGTAAATGTACGAGTAGGCTATATATCTCCAACGACCGTAAATTTGTCTGACCGACAAACAACCAGAGATTGAGTGCTAATTTGTAAATGGGAATGAACGTTGCAGGGGCGGATTCAGGATTATTTGAAGGAGGTGGGTGAGGTCCGCAGATGGGAAGCCGACCCCCCCCCCCCCCCCCCCCCCCCTTGGCGTGGGGGTCAGGGCTCACGAAAAATTTTGGTATTTTAGAGGGCGAACGGTGCCATTTTTTCAGAAATTGAAGGCTGAGTCAAGACCTAGTATCCTCCTAAAACCGCCACTGCGTTGCAGTCAAAGGAATCCATACAATAATTATTTCCTGTAATATTGGATACCTTGTCTTTTATTTCCTAAAATAGAATTGATTAAATGGGACGCAAAAGGAAATAGATATTGCAGAATTGTACATTAATGAGATTGATCGAACTTATTTAGTATCATGTACGTAGCTAAATTGGCTGACGTGAAAAAAAAATGTGTATAAATTTTACTGTTGTGATTTATATCCGTCCGTTCGTCCGTCCCTCTTTCAGTTAGTCAGTCATTTCGTTTCAGTCTTTGTGAAAATTTGGGAGGTCAAGACATTGGACAAAAGATAGTTGTACGTGGTCTGGGTTCGTAAAATTATCCCGATTTTCTCAATATTCGGTTTCCCCAAGGAAATACGTACCCGACAACCCGGGATTCCTGTGGTAAGACAAGCCGCCAGTTCAATGATGACTTATTAATTCCCGAGGGCAGGGGGGTCAGGCTATCAGTGACACCTGTGGTGACGTTAAAAAATAATCAATTATATGACGACTTTTCCGTCTTTTTTATTTATTCATGTCATTTTTTTTTACATAATACTGTATTGTAGTTATTTCCCCACACGTAGACGTGTCAGTGAAAGGAAATGATAGATTTTCGAATATATATTTTATAATATACATGAATAAATTAACAGCCATGCACAGCTTAATGTTTTGGTAACTGGCACTTGAACGAAGTATGTATGAAGAAAATAATGAAAGTGAAAAAATGTAAAGCAGCAAGAGTATTAAGTATAGATTTTTGTGGGTTTGGAGTGGTTGTGGGGAAATCAATTAAGTAATTAACCCAGGGCACAATTTACCCCCCCCCCTCGACCACTCCCCCCATCCCCACCGGGCCAACATTTTCTGGCGCAATTGTAACCAGCTGTTCCCCTTTTTGCCACATAGAACTAGAGATAGATATGAGAGATAGCGTAATAGATTCAGCCACATGCAGGCCCACAGCAAGCGGAAAATTAATGTTTTTCGACAATTATGATTGGTTCACAGTGACAACCCATGTTATTAGAATTATTAATAATTTCCTTCTCTGTGAATGAATCCTTTAGGAAGCCGTGCAATCAGTCGACGCATCAGTATCTATTAACGGAGAGTTTCACAAACTGAGGGTGTCTTAACTTTTAGACCAAAGATTAGGTGTATTTCGGTTTAAGATAAATCCACAGTAGCCCATTTGAATAAAGTATTGGTCTGAAACATAAACCATATATTCCCTGCTATAAGACAGGCACAATACTTTATATTATTGCACTACTACTGATTCATGTTGAGTAAAAGTGGACTTAAATTTGGGACTCAAAATTTAGACCAGTTTCCGGGTTATAGCTAAATGCAGCGAAACCGGCCTGGTGTAACGAAACAGAGGGTCCGTGTAACAGAAAGTCCGCCCTCCATTTAGTTATAAAGGTAGGGTTAGCCTGACCAAGAAACTCAAGTACAAATGAATGGGACTCTCCATCATGGGGAACTCTCTGTCACGTCACCACACATCCCGGGACAGGAGATATACCTAGATACACAACCGGTCTGACGAATTAAGATAACTGTTCACAATTATACATTAGCGGTTTATCACTTCCCACAATGGATCGTTGTCACACGTATCTCCATATGTATGATAATATCTGCTTTTATTCTACACGTGAATCACGGCATGAATGAACAGGAATGAATGATAATTAAGGACGCACTTCTTCCTTATTTTTTCCGCGTTTTTATATATCTTTTCCTTTGTTTATATATTGATTTTAGGGCGCGAAACAAACTTCGAATTTTTTACAGAATTTACATGGAATATAATGGATTGGGATACTTTTTTCTTTTTTCCCGTTGCATCTCTCTCTATCTCCATGTGATTGTTAATTTCTCAGTTTTCTCAGCTTTTATACAATGATGTTATGTATTTCACATTCTTTAACTCCACAATTTTCATGTTTTTTTCACGATATCAACTTACATCGATATCTAAAATTCGAGTGCGTTGGAAACAAGAGGAGGTCTGTTTAACTGATTGTATTCAGCGAGAGTTCCTGCGAAGTTGGATCGATCTTCGTAGACCAATAGATTAAGTGGGAATGAGCCCTTGTGGCGAGTATAAGATGGCACAATGGGACCCCCCCCCCCCGCCCCCCCCCTTTAGGGGAACTGCTTCCCTCTCAACCCCCTCTGCCCCTGTCCCGCTCTCTCACAAAAACAATATGACACATCAGGAACAAAAGCAAGCAATGTCTATCTATGTGACTTACATATTACAGGAAAAATGACCGAGCGAAGAGGGACAAAACTACGTTATCTCCCCCCCCCCCTTCTCTCTCGCCACCGCCAGCCCAAAATGAGATTGTTGATTTTTAAATTAAATCATGGAGACACACTTCAAAGAGGTACTTTGAAGAAGGGGGTGGGTGATATCCCCATTCTTAATAATTTGGGTCTTTCAGGGTGATTTGACTCAAGTGAAATGACAATCAAGTCGGCCCCAGTGGCTAGTTTCGCGCCTGCCAGTCTTATTTTAAAAAAATGACCGCATATCACGTTTCGAGGAATTAAAAACCATATATCGATGAAGGAAACGATAAGTTCAGTGACAAGCTGGGTGTTTTATCTATTCCCTCATGTTTCAATAGAATGATCTCTTTGAAGACAACCCGAAATCCGACATGACCCCTTATCTTTAACTTAACATCGTGCCCCGTCCTGTATGTAACACAGTGAAGTGGAGGAGGGGGGATACAGGGAAATACACTACATGTCTTTAAAATTGATTAAGTTACGTTAACATTGGTTAACAGATAAGTCAGCATAGGTGTAAATTTCTCCCGGGAAAAGGAGCCGAGAGAATAACTAACTTCATAGAAAATATGAGCCATCCAGTCTGTATAATTTACGTGTGTTGCGGGGGGCAAAATTGGATAAAATGAAATATAAAAAAGAGGGGGAGATGTTCGCTTTTATACATATGTAAAAAAACTTTGACGATTTCGACAACTGACGCTAATTGCGAATAAAGCAAGAGGGGATCATCCCTACCACCAAACTTAAAAAATATAATCAAAGGATAACCTTAAATTTAATCATATTTTTATATTGTACAAAAAAAAAGCAAAGTTAAAAATTCCAATGACAAAATATAGATGAAAAAAATTCCAGTTTAAATTTAATGGGGAATAGATAATTTTCCAAATAGTACGAACGAACCAGGAACGTAGAATTTTTCCATTCTTTATAAGAGAACCGTTATCAGAAGAAATTGATCGATTAGAAGCTGATAGGCATGTGTGATCATTAAGGATATTTGAGCGACTTAAAAATTTGGCAGGCGATGTGCAGTGTTTTTTATTTTTAATCTCCCTCGACCGGATTGAGAGTTTAGAACCACAATACTGTTTTCAAATTTATCATCCTTACATTTAGAAACTTTTATTGCGGTGGCAGGTAAGTTTACTTTCCTTTCCCTTTCGAAGAAACCATCAAAAATACGCCCCTTTTTCTACTTTTTTTCAGTGTGTCAAGATAACAGAGAGATGCGGTTGTTTAAAATAATTGTAAATAAGTACATCATTACTTCTCTTTTTTAACGTACCGATATGTAATGACATAATGATAAAGGTACACCACTTTTTAGCGTGCGCCGTGCCACATCGCACGTACAACCATTCAGATAGCGGCGCCTCTCCTTTTTAATCCTGTTTGCGAAGTGTTGCACTCTGATGGCTTTATCTTTTATTTACCATTTCATCGTGGTCAACTAGTGAAGGAAATTCGTGTCAGGCAAATCCACAACATAGTCGAATTAACCGCTACTCAAATCGGTTGTTAGGATTCGTTTGTTCAGTTTCCTCGAACTGTTCGAATCCTGACCACATTTTATTATATGTGTGTGACAAGGAACGGCTATTAGATAAAGCACATTTGAATTGATGGCAGTAATATTTCATAATCCGTTTTAAGGATAGTTAATAAGCCAGGAAACTATGTAATAAAAATCGACCAAATTCCGTGTGGCGATGTTTCTTACTGATACCATGCACTTTTAAAATCCGTAGCTGGTTGACGTAACAGAGAGTCCCGCATGATAGAGAGTC